TTGGTTTTTATTGGGCTTGGTAGTTGTGTCAATTGTGACACATATTTTTTTGTACTTGGGGAAACAGTTTCAAAATTATATGTTTGATCATATTCTTCATCAATAATTTCTTTGATATTGTGACGTGTCTTTATACATTTTTCATACGTTTTATTTGGGATAATTAGTTTCAGTTCTTTTGGTGAAAAGTCCTGTATCATTTTATCACCAAAAGGACTCTTTTGAAATACATTTATGTGTTCTTCTCCTACAAATAACAAGAATGTAATTTTTATTTTATTGAAATTTGTATTTATGTATAACAAGTAATTTGTTTTAATTTTAAAATATAGTTATTGTAAAAATGTAATTTATATTTATTAGTATAAACAGACATTAACCAGTCTCCACTATATTTGTGTACTCTGCAGTCAGTAGTATATTATATTGTATTAGATGTTTAATCAGGTAACGTTTACTTCTATATCACCTTTTTTGTGAGGAGAATGTAATAAGACTAATGTTTCATACTACAAATTCTTTAGCTAAATGCTAAATGTATCATGGCCACTTGGTACAAACTACATTACAATCTAATATTTAACACCTACTGCCAAATTCATATTTTCATAAAAATATAAAACAACTTTAAGTGGTAGCTGGTAGATAATATGGTTAATGTTATGTTTTCTTATAAGTGTTTGTATAATTTTATGAAATATCAATAATCAAAGTATGTATACTTTGAGAATAACAATTGCATATACCATGTGTTAACGAAAACCATTTACAATGTATAATTAAATTATCCATATTACTTAGTAACCTATACATATTTTTGAATTCTAGTTGCAAGACATAAAATTACACTATTTCATAATTAATCTCTCACTGATAGAATTTTAAAATATGTTTAGGGTACTGAGTAATCATGTATAGGTAACTTAGTTAAATAGTTTACCCAGTTTTCGAGGACACATAGTATATAATATTTTTTTTTAAAATAGAAAACATTAACACTTGGAGTAGGTATGTGTTTAAAAATTAATAATAATGTATTTTCCAAAATAATGCAAAATTAAAAAAAAAAAGAAACATGTTAAGTATTGAAATACATTTTCAACAGCTTGAATAAAAAAAAATTTTATGACGATAATTGTGGTTGCTATATATATTATTTACCTGTTTTATGAAATGTAATCCTTCTCTTAACTGGTGTCTTTTGTGACACTTTTGATATTATATCTTCATTGTCTAGATATATTTAAAAGGATAAGTTTAATTATTATAAAAACTTCTGTATATATTTAACTAGGTACAGACAATTTTAGTTGAGTTATAATAAACTTACTATTTGCATTAAACTTCACAGGGATGGCTCCAGACATAAGCCTGTTACGATCTGGTCTGGTGAAATCATGTTCATTAAAATGATCTTCACACAGATACCTATTTTTAATTTTTTTCGGCGATAAACCATCTAATACCATGTTTCCTATAAAAATAATACCTTATTTATACTACATCTATTTTAATTCTTTCAATTAAAATGTATTTAACTTACCTGAATTAAGAATCCATTGTCTACACCTTTCTCTATCTGTAGGAAATTTATACATTTTTTTTTATAATTTGACCTATTATTTTTGCAGTTCGAAAAATTGCAGATTTCTCCAGGCATATTTATTAATCAATTTAAAATTTGTAATTAATAAAAAATTTAGGAAAATCACTATGACGAAATTTATAACACTAATAAATCCAAAAGTTAATCGTTAACGAATTACCAAAGTAGTCAACGAATTAACAAAGTTCGTTAAATTATTTTTTAAATACCTACATAGAGAAATTAATATTAATAGTTCATCTTTTCTTCTAATATATATCCGTGTTCTTTTCAAATTACATTTTTGGCGCTCTATGTACAATTTAATTTTACAGTATTTTAAATATATACAATAAATATGTATCATTGATATGATCATACTGCATTTGCTATCCTCGACAAATTTTGGAATGCGCCATCTATCGGCTGCTATTCCTTTGCGCGTATCACATATTTCAGCTATATATGGTTTCTCTATACTATCTATACTCAATGGTAATACTCACTTGCACAGGCGTCGTTGTACAGAGGGTATACGATGTGTGTGTACTGTCACAGTTTAATTGTCCAGACGTTATTATATATTATACTTATACATAATCATATTGTCGTGTTATTACTTATTATATTAATGCTAACATCATTAGTCCGTCAAGCTTTACTTTCAACAATATGTATAATCCTTCAGTTAAATATTTTCAAAATTCATATCATCTATAGTTAAATACAATATGTAAATTTTTATAAAAACTAGATTTTCTCATAATATTAATACGTATCTAGAAGTTGTATAATAAAATGTATAAGAAAAGATAAGTTTAGATTTTAACTAAAATGTTTGAAATAATAATTTGTCTTCATGTTATTTATATAGTATATAATAATCAACAAGACTTTTAATTTGATTTTTTTTTAAAGTCTTGTTGAATATAAAATGTAAAATAGATAAAAATTCCAATTTAGGGCATTTCCCCAGCCCCTCAACAAAATTTTTTTTTTTAAAGAAAACCAAATCTCTACAAACGAAAAATAATTGATTACAAACCAATACAAACCGGCTACAAACGAATTGTAAAAAAAAAAAAATGAAAATTCGAAATTGGGGGGGCTGGGGAAATGTACCTATAAATATTGAATGGGCCCATGAGTATTATTATTAACAACTAATAAGTTATAAGAATAACTATAAATAGTAACCGTCTCCACTCGGGTCTCGGACACCCCACCAAACATCTGCTATATAGCTCGTCAATAGTTTATTGTTTATTATTGGAGTTGCGAAAACGAATTTATATTTATAGGAAGACAATTATTTAGAATACATTCTTGGCCCCCATTTATTATTTAGCCATTTTAATGATTTTGTAATATTATAAAATGTGAAAAAATACTAAAAACCAATTATAGGGGATCCAAAGTTTCACTTTGCTAACTTACCCGCTAGTTGCGCCACTGGTCTTTACAGTTATAGGTACACGCAAATCCGTGATACACTCAGAGAATATTATACAATTATAAAACAAGTATGAAAATTGCACAATAGTTTTTATAATATATGACATTTGTTCAGAAAGTTAAAATTAAAAATACTAAAACATCCATATTCTTAGACATTTTTAGACACTTATTCTAATTATATCACTTGTATTGATGTATCGCAATGGCTGTTATTGTTACTTTGTATGCTGAATACTCAATATTTTGATTTTAAGATATAAAATTACGTTAAGTGGACTTTATACACAGACATATTTTGTTGTCTCCGTCTTACAAGTGCGTCAGTGCATCACATATAGCAATTTTACGCTCAGCAGATCACGGTTAGCTCTGTTAGTTTAAAAATTAGAATGAATTACATCTAAACGTCTTATGTATAAAACATTACGCTAGATTAAATTTAGAAGCTCAAGCTTTTAGATTATTATATGGGGCATGTCATAGGCTTTTTATTTTATTTTAATTTTAAAGCAAATTACCGTTATGAGTACCTATTTTAGAATGTACAAACAATTTACAATTTTAAAATACTCATATCTTGCTTTAAAATAAAAATTTAATAAAAAGAGTACCTATGAGATGCCCTATACATAATATAATATAATATAGTATAATATAAAATAATATAGTATAATATAATCTTACCTTAAAAATATATTCGTGTAACGTGCTTTTAAACTACCATAAATCAAAATATATGGCACTGCCCTTGAATTTTATCAACTAGGTTATAATATTCATATGAACTTCGAGAAGTATTATACAGTTCTTACATGAAAATTAATACAGATATATTTTGATTTGTTTCAGTACACATATCTAAGAATTGAAAATGTAGTACACGATTCTCTATCAGTATTATACTATTATTACATAAAATCAATTTTTTTTATAAGCTTTAGAAGCTCAAATATTGCCAGCATATTTAAATGAGCATTGGAAATTAGAATTTTTTTATAAAAATGGTCAAAATTACAGTATTAGGCTCGGGCCACACGACGCGTTCTTGCCGCATGCGGCTATTTGCGGTGTCGCCGCATGCGTTGGGTTTTTGTACGGACCGTTTAGTTTTAAATAGAACAGGCCACACGACGCGGTGTTGCCGTATGCGGCAGGTTTCCACCGCAACATGCTGCGGTGGTGCGGCAGCAACGCACACTGTTATCAATACAAAACACATTTATTTCAATTATATCCCTAAAAATCCTCTACTTCTCTCTTGTCCGTTCTAATTTAGAGTACTGCCCCCTCATCTGGATAAATAGTACGTCGAAACAGGCTCTTACGCTGGAATCTGTCCAAAATAATTTTTTACGTTTTATCTCTTTTAAATTTAACATAAACAGACCTGTCCACGGCTCATATGATAATGTTTTAAATTTTCTTAATATTTCTCTTCTGTCTGACCGTCGTACACTTTTACTCTCTAAATTTTTACAAAAACTAATTTTAGGTTCAATAGATTGTCCTGAAATTCTCTCTTTAATCCGTTTTAAAATTAATTACCTTAATACTAGAGATCCAAAACCCTTTTATCCACTTTTTTCAACAAAAAATTATATCTTGAACTCTCCTGCTAACCTTCTTATGACTGCAGGTAATACTTTTGTCTTTGATTATATTTAAATAATAATTTTTATATTTGATTTGTATTCTATTTCTAATTTAGCATTATTATTTTATTCTTTCTCTAATTTTAAGTAGAAACTATTAATTATTGTTTTACGTATTAATGAGTTTTTTCACTCACAATGTAATATTATTATGTTTTAGGACTCACGTCCGTTTATATTAAATAAATAAATAAATAAATAAATAAATAAATAAATATCGACCACACGACGCGGTAATAACGCACGCGGTGAAAAATCGTTATTTTCCAATTGGTCATTTTTGAATTTTAAAAAACGCATAAAAAATGTTCGACTTTGAAAAACTAATAAGCGAAGTTCAGTCAAGGCCTTGTTTATGGGATATTGGCTCAAACGATTACCACGACAAGCCAATGAAAATGTTGGCATGGAATTCTGTGGCTGCCGCTATGTATCCGAATTGGGAAGAACTTTCAACGGCTCAAAAAGAGGAAAAAGGTAACATATATTTAATTAATGTGAATAAAAACAAATTACAGTAAAGTGAAAAATTATTAATTAATAATAATTGAAATCAAAATAGGTAAGTACATACAACATACGTTATACATATTTAAAATGTTAATATTCCAAAATACATACCTAAATAAATAAAAACTAATTATTGATTTTAATAAGTATTAATAATAACTCATAGGTAGATGTTGTCTTTTTATATTTTGTTATACTGGAATGGTACGGATCCTGGTCCCATGAAATACTCTGCATAAGAATCTCTGACCTCAATTCCTTGAGATCGTACTCCCGGTCCTCTATTAGATAAACCATCTACCAAATAGCTAGTATCCATGTCCTCGAAATTATAACCATCTCTTTTGCGGACAAAGTTGTGTAGTATACAGCATGCTTTTATGATGTCGTCCGCAAAATCTGGTTCAACCAATAGTGGCGTATGTAACACTCTCCACTTATTTGAAAGTACGCCAAATGCACATTCAACCGTCCTTCTTGCTCTTGAAAGCCTATAGTTGAATATACGACGAGTATTTGTAAGCCCATGGCCTGGATATGGTCTGAGTAAATTTTTGTGCAGTGCAAAAGCTTCATCAGCAACAAAAACGTAAGGTTGAGGAGAGTCATCGGTATTTGGTAAGCACTTAGGTTCAGGAATATTAAGCTGATTGGCATACAATTTTTTTCCAAATGGACATTGCTTAAACACATTAGAATCAGATTCTCGTCCAAATGCCCCGACATCAATACAAACAAAACTTAAATTTGAATCTACTACAGCCATAAGAATAATAGAATAATATTTCTTATAATTGAAAAAATATGAACCTGAGTTTTGTGGATTTTTACACCTTATGTGTTTCCCGTCGATACTCCCAAGACAATTAGGAAAGTTCGTACTTGTATAAAAATGTTCAGCTATATCAAGCCATTGTTCCGTAGTCGGCGGAGACATTTCCGTTGGTTGTAATACTGTCCAACAAATTTGACAAGTTTCTTTGACAATTTGTGCTACTGTACTCTTCCCAATATTAAAATCAAATTGCATAGCTTTAAAACAAGTTCCAGTTGACAGATATCTAACAATATATTTAAAAATGTATTAATAAGGAAATAAATTTTCATTTTAGCAAAAGATATAAAGGACAAAAAATGGAGACATGTACGCGACAACTATATGAAATATAAAAACCAAGAAAAAAATATTAAAAGTGGTTCTGCTGCTACAAAAATAAAGAAAAAATACCACTTTGCTAATTTGTTATCGTTTTTGACACCAAATTTAGATAGAAGAAGGTAAATTTAATATAATATGTAAAACCAGATTTATCAATTGGCTATTTAGAAATGTTTAAAAAAAAATGTGTATCAGATTTAAATTTTAGATTCTGATGAATGTATTAATTTTACAATCATGCGTTTTATTTTTTATTTTTTGTGTTCATGTCATCACCACTTGGTACTTTGGGGGGGGGGTCAACAATAAAAAGGTGGTTAAGTGGATGTCGCTCTGCTGTACAGTAGGTTATAAGTGAGTCACTGTAACGGATTGTGTTAAATTTGAATCCAAAGATATTTATTTTGAATTGCTTTTAGTTTATTTTTTTTTTTTGATAAAAGTAGACAAACTTATGATACATCTTGTATTACATTTTAAAATCTTAGATTCAAAAAGAAAATTTTTTATGAATTTCTAACAAAAAAATTTGTAAATTATCGTTATTTTTACGTATTTTGTCAAAATTTGAATTTAAAATGCTTAGAACAAAAAATTGTGACTACGAATTTTTAATATTTTTAATCTGCCTTTGAAAAAATATATTATGAGCCTTCTATTAAATGTTCAAGAATTTTCACCCAACAAATACAATTTTATTAATATTTATAGAAAAAAAAAATTTCATGGATCTACAGTCTTTTCTTTTAGAGTTACACCAAAAACCAAAATCGATTTTGTGTAAAAATTTACGTTTTTTCCTTAATTTTTCATTTACTTCGTTCTGGTTTAAAGTATTAAAATATTTATTTTATTTTTTGCTTCAATTGTTGATGTAGTTATTATCAAATTATAAAGATTTTTTGTAATATAAGTACTATTTAATTTCAATAATCTCCTAATTAAATTTTTACAATTTTTGATTTATTTAAATAGTACCTCAGGAAATTTTATAAACGACACACAAAACGTATCAGATGCTCAGGTTTCGGATAGAGATGAAGTGGCTGAAGATCATGAGAATACATTATCAGACCAAGAACACCCATCACAGCTACTGGATATGTCCTTAAGCGCACAGAACACCCCACCGAGTACTTCAAAAAAAAATAAAAAAATCCAAAAATGACTATTTTTCAGAGCAAACTATTGGATCACTTGGAAAAACAAGAATTAACTGACGCGGATGAACTTTTTTTGAAATCTTTACTTCCTCAAGTAAAACAATTAAGTGATGGTAAAAAATTAGAATTTAAAATGTACGTACTTAAATTTTTTCAAAATGAATCTTATCCACAAAATAATAATTATTCCTATCAAACTCCAGTATTTAATCCTCAGAATAATGCTCCATATTTTTATTCCGGGTATCCTGCACCAATTCCAAATCAATGTCCTCAACTACCTTCTTCTGAAAACATATCTGCACCTTATCAACCAAAGCAACAACATTTTCCTCCGCATAATCCCCAAGATGGCAACCATCATCAAATGTAAATGAAAATTTACGTATTTTAAAAAGTGATAATAATTTGTTTTTTTTTATTTATTTTAAGAAGCTTATAAAAGTTAAACAGTTATTTTTATTATTTGTTATTACCTATAAATGGTACTAGTTTCTATATTTTATATACTTAACAGTTTATAATTTTTTATTTTTTTAAACAGTTAATACATTTTCTTTCTTTTGTATTTAGAAGTTAATTAAAAAAGAATACATTTTTTCATAACGTATACGTGTTCTTATTTATATTTTAATTATAATAAAAAATTACAGCCTACAGGTATGAATACAAAGTTCAACATAGTACTTTTGGTGATATTATTATATTAATACGTGTAATCACGTTTATAACGGTCCTACGTTAATTTTGTCCATATAGAAATATATACAACTTTTTTTTTTAAATAGGTACCTATATTGTATGTATGTGACATATTTATATATATTATATATTTGTATCAGTTTTATATGTTATAAAGTTAAGCACCTAAGTACTTATTTGTATTGATTATTGAGTCATTATACCTATTAATTATTATGTTATTATTAATTATTATTAACAAATGTATTTAGTTATATAAGGTTAGCGAGAGACTTTAATACTAAAGGTATAACTTTTACTATTTTATAATTTCAAACAATTTAAGGTAAAAAATATATTTTATCGACTTACCTTATAGTCACCGTCAGTCTAACCTCCGGGCTCAAAGGATTACGCATGTTAGTAACTTCTTTAGTTAAATGTTGACGAATCTTAGCCAAGAGTTCATCGAATGACCTAACCAACATTCGATAATACTCGAAAAACTTTTCGGGGTGCTTTCGTATATTTCCATAAAATTCTAAAAAGTTATTATTTTTTTCTCTATCAGAATTTAAGGGATGTACCCAGTATCTTTGTTTTGAAGTAGTAGGTTCATCCAATTCTCCAGCAGCTTCTGCCACACACAACACTTTCAACAATCTTTTATTGGACATGGTATAGACTATCGACCTTCTGATACCAAGTCTAGATTGAAACTAAATTAATTTTTCATTCTAAATTAATTTTGAGTTCCCAAATTTAGACTTATATTAGAAAATTTTAAAAATATACCTAACGCATCCGGTCACAACGCAATGCAACGCATCGTGTGGCCCGATATGTCATTGCGGCGTCACCGCAATTCATTTTAACGCATGCGGCAATACCGCATCGTATGGCCCGAGCCTAAATCATCGAAATCACCAGTATTTGCAAATTATTTTGTAGTTAAAAATCTATAATTATTTTTATATTCATAGCTCTGAATTGAAAATATAATACAAGGTTGTCCATGAGGTTTGCTTACAAATATCGAGATTTGTTCAGTTGAAAATGTTATCGAGCATTTGAATTTGTAATTTTTTCAAAATCAAAATTCTTAAGTTGGTCTTCCATTAATTCAGAAATTATTAAAATACATTGGCGCAATATTTTTTAATAAGTATTTATATTAAAGTATTAATAATCGAATAATCGAAAATAAACTGAGATTTACTTATAAATTATAGTGAAAAATATTTTACGAATATACCCAACAAAAAAATATAAAATGTTCTCGTTAGCGGTCACGGTCCATGGTATTGTTATTGGAGTATTTATATTTATAGCTTAAATACCTCATTTACCACTATTATAATAATATGAACATGGACGAGTTTTGTGTTTATTTTTAAAATCTGATTGAATTATTATTAATAAACCGTCGTCTATATAAATATGTTGTTATTCATCTCACAAATGTTGAATTGAACGTTTTATTTGTGATTTGTTATTTGTGAGCACGTTTAGTTTAGTACGACAGTGACGGCCAATGAGTATTAACTTCACTATTTTATAGTCTAAAAAGGTAAGTACCTATAGCCGATAGCTTATAAACCTAAATATTATTTATTTTCCTTCGTATCTTAATTTAATCATAACTAATAATTACATACCAACTTATTAACTTAATAGGATTCGTTAAACGAACTAACTGTTGTCAAGAATCAATATGAGTGAAGTGTGGCAAGTTTTCACTAAACATGAAAATGAAATTAAAGTTATTTGTAAAGAGTGTTCTGGACTATACGTCAACTTCGGTTCAAATAAAACCAATCTATGGAACCATTTGAAATTTAAACACAAAAAAAAATATATCGAACTAGATCGACTTCGAAGAGGAGTATCTGGTCCTGAAGCTGCTGATCATCTTGAAGTAGCAGATAACGAAGCTGAGTAAGTAAACAATTTGCATTTATATTTTTACTGAAATCGCTTTACCAAAATTTGCGAGGCCAATATTTCACTGAGCCGTACAATATTTTTTTCTTCTTATTTTAACAATTGAAGACCTCAGAGGTCAGAGCAATAAATCTCCTAATTTTATTTTTTGTGGTTAATATCATACATTAATAGTATTTATACTTTGAAAATAAATGTAGGTATAAATGTATAATGATATAGGCCAATGTGCAATGATGTAGGTAAATTTACAATTTTTTCATATAATAACATTAGTTTATTTAATTCTTAGATAATTTCTTGATATTAGAGTGATTTAACCTATTATTATTTATTTAGATAATAACATTATCTGTTCTTAAGCGTTGGCTATTATTCGATATTTTAATTTTCAAGTGAGATATGAGCATTTTTAATATTTCACATACCCATATCTTGCTTGAAAATGCAAATTTTGAAAAATCTGCAACGCTTAAGTACAGGTAATGTTCTGACCTAAAAGTTTTATAATAGGTCAATTCACTCTAGTATCAAAACTAACAGCACACTATTGAAACTAGCAAATGACAATTTGCTTTATCGACTGCGTACGTAATACGAAGTCAATAAATGTATGGGTAGCGTAATAGATTATAATTATAAAATAATCAGTGTTTAGTTGTTACAGTTAATCTCAGATTATAATGTATTATTAATTGATAGTAAACATTTATATTATCTACCAATTATAACCGATTATAATTTTTCCTTTGATAATAATCGATTATAATTTATGAATACAAAATAACTGATTATAGTAAGTATCGATTATAACCGACTATAATTTATGAATTAATAATAATTTATGTATAAAAAAAAAGCAATGCGTAATGTGCCGAACGGTGTGTATCGCCCGATAGCTATGACGCTACTAATAACTAGGGATGGCAACGATACATCGATTAATCGAAAACATCGATTGTTATATTCGATGTATCGATGTTTTTTACATCGACAGTGTCTTTCGATTTTTATTGGTCCATCGAAAATTACCTTTGATGTTATATCGATGTGTCAATGTATCGAAGTAGCTACGTAACTAAATTTTTTTTTTTTATATTTTAAAATTAAAATTTTTTATGATAATATTTGAAGTCCAATTTGTGGTTAGGTTATAAAGTTAATAAATAACAATTGATAAATAATTTGTTCTAATCACTTAGTCTATCACTAATCAGTTAGTCCGTGGTTCATATCATAATTATCGTATTCCAAAGATCCTATTATGGTTATGGTTTATGTTGGTTTATGTAGGTAGGAATATAAACAATGATCCATGGCCATGATCAAAGCCCAAAGGTCTATACATTTGACTATTTGAGGTTATTACTTATTAGTTATTATTTTATTAATTTATTATGCTTTACATTTACGGACTTACGGTGTCGGTAACGGACATTCAAATTTCAAGTATTCAACAAGAATACAACATTGTCTATTTGTCTTTACTCATTAGTCTTTTGTTTTCACTTTTGTAGTTTTGTAATTTGTTAATTGTTTATGTTTTGTCAACTATATAGTATATATAGTATATAGTGTTTGTGTTATATTATTTTACTAAACTTTTAACATGCCTAGAATAAGCCCAGTGTGGCGGCACTTCGATAAAGTTAATAAAACGTTGGCCACTTGTAAAATATGTGGTGAAACTTTACAAACTGCAGGTAATACCACTAACATGCGTCAACACCTGGTAAATATTCACAATGTAACACTGGACGGTAAACCTAAGAGTATCTTAGAACCAGAAAAAGTTGACGATTCAGAGGATGTAAGTGGATTATTTAAATTTTACGTTACCTATTTCATGCATTATTGAATTATATCCATTGATATATTTATTAAAAATTACTTTGTATTAACACGTCTGTCTCCCTACAGTTAGTAAATACACCTGGTGTAAAACGTAAAAGGGTTAATATCCAGCCGTCAATTAAAGATAGTTTGTCATTCTGTACATCTATGACAAGTAAGCATTATTTAACCATAGATAATAGACAATAGTACCTATATTGATTTGTACAATTTTGTTTTTAAAGGTGGATCAAAGTCTGGCGAGATTACAAATGCTTTGGTGTATTATATTACAAAAGATAACCAACCCTTTTCTACAGTAGAAAACTGTGGGTTTAAGCATTTCATGAAAGTTATCTGTCCTTTATATAAAGTACCGTCAAGGAATACTATAAAAAACAAAATTGACGAAAAATATAAGTATTTGGCAAACAAGTTTAAGGAAAAACTAAATCAGACGAACAATTTTACATTAACAACTGATATTTGGTCTGATTTATCTATGAAAAGCTATTTAGGAATTACAATACATTTCTTGGAGGGAATAAAATTTGTTTCGGGTACTATATTTTCTACATATTATTACATTTAGGTTTAGCACTGTAAAAAGTAAATTTACAGCATATTAAGTAAGTATTGGTTATGTTTTGATTTTTTTTAGGTACATTGGGAGTATATGAATTAAATGAATCACATACATCAGAGTATATAAGTCGTATGTTTGAGAATTGTCTGTCAGAATGGAATATTTCACAAAATCAAATTATTGCTGTTGTTACAGATAACGGTAAGCAATTATAAAATATTACTTATAGGAAACTATGCTTATGTAGGTATTATTTTTTATTTTGATTATTTATTAATATAGGTAATTATTTCTTTTTTAAGGGTCAAACATAAAAAAGGCAGCACAAGCTACGTTTAGTGTGGATAAGTATATACCATGTATTGCGCACACCATAAATTTAATTGCGGAAAAATCAATATCAGGCACAAATAATTTGAGTTACTTACTTCAAAAGGTACGGAGTATTGTAAAATTCATAAAAAATAGCACTATTGTCAGCGATGAGTTAAGGAAATGTCAAACTAATGAAGGTAAAAAGATTTTCAAATTGTTTACAATTACCTGATTAATTATTCTTTCTTTTTTTTTAATAGGAAAATCAGAAGGACAATTACAAAAAACTATTTTAGATGTAAAAACTCGCTGGAATAGTGTTTATTACATGGTTGAAAGATTTTTAAAACTTTCATCCATGATATCTGGAATTTTACTAACTAAGCCAAATGCCCCAGACATGTTAACCGGTCGTGAGTTAAATGATTTGAAAGGTATTTGTGCTCTTTTACATCCTCTAGAAAACTTAACAACAAAAATGTCTGGTGAAAAGTATGCAGTGATTAGCACATAAAAAAAATCGATTCGGAAAAAAATCGGCCCAAAAAAATCGATTTTCTGAGAATCGATTCACAAAATAACGAATATTTTACTTGTTAATAAAATCATAAATTAATTAAATTATTTTACTAGGTAAGAAATAATTAACTTAGTGGTATATTAAATTGTAATTGAATAACAAGTGTACGGGGTTCCTATAGAGACCCAGAAGTCAGTATAATATCATTTTGTAGTAATAAATTCTGTAGACAAAAACCTTATTGACTTGTCATTATAAAAAATGGTTGATGAGAAAAAATATTTGAGTTAAGTTATCAGTTAATAAACAATATATTAAACACTAAACTTCTAGTTATAAGAAAATGTTTAACTTAGTTAAAAATATGTCAGTCGGTTAAAGATATTTTGAAAAATGACAAGTGACTGAATTTTTACATAAAAGTGACATAGTGACATATATTTTAATAGATTCTATTTTACTTATTTTGGTGCATTATATTTTTGTTGTTTTTTTCACGCATATATTTTTTACTTGTACAAAGTAATTTGAATTTTGAAACTTAACATTTTTTAAATGTTGACCATATACCGTCATAAACGCATTTTACTCTTCATTGAATTCACATGCTTGATGTTATGTAGTTTGTCTTTAAACGTTAATAAATAAATAAATTATTACCTATTTTAGATATTTAAACAATTTTATATCTAAGTAGGTATATAATACTATGCATCTTTGTTTTGAATTAAACTTTAATTTAATGCATGAGTAATAATAAAAAAACAGTTAGATATTTTTTAATAATATACTTTATTAATAAATAATACATAATTTTAACAGATACAGTTAAAAATATATAATTTTACAATGTTTTAATAAAAAGAATGAGTACACCCATGGGTAGCGTCCTCTTAAGTAAAATGAAAATACCTATAAAATTATATACATATAGCGACAATATTTCTTATGTTATTCAATTATATTAAATCTAAATGCCAATCCTTTTCAGAAAGAGACCCAAGAAACATAAGTTGGTTAAAATTTTTACCTGTCAATCGGTTGCTACTATCCGTTACTATCTGTCCAGCTTTCGAAAACAAACGCTCTGATGGTACTGAAGTAGCTACCATCGCTAGGTATGGCTCTACAACTTTTTTAAGTTTAGGATAAATTGGCCCATGGGTATCCCAAAATGTTAAAATATCATCACCTAATGACAAAGTTGGCTGATTTAAATAGTGCTTTAAATCAGTAGGCATTTCATTTGAATACATAGGTTCATTGACAGCTTTTTTAGAGCCCAGCTCCTTATGAACTGACCATAAGTTATCTGGATTTTCATCATCTGATGAATTGCCTGCGTTAGAAGAACTGCTCTCACTGCATTCAGTTCTGATATCTATTATTTTATTTTTAATAGTGCCAATGGCTTTTGAAGAAGCAATAGGATCATTCGAATGAAGTGTTTTGAATCGGGGAACTAGAATAGTAGCTATAGAAAAAATTTCCAAATACTCGACCCTACCAAACCGGGTATTTAAATTTTTAAGTAAATTGTTCTTAAAATCTAGAGAAATAACATTTTTAATTTCAATTGGTTCATTTTTTTTTATTAGGCAATGAAGTAATGGGATTACTTTACTAGCCGTCACATAGTTTTGGCCACATAGTTCTTTTGTTGCAGCTTCAAAAGGTTTGAGTAGAAACATTATTTCTTTAGCAATGAATAACTGGGTACCAGAAATCATAGGTGGACTACTATGGAATTTAACTATAGTGGATGCTATGTTGTCTGAACAAATAATGAATCTTTGTAACATATAATATATGGAATTCCATCGCGTAGGAATGCTTTGTTTTAATTTTAATTTAGAAATTTTATTAAATTCATCGGTTGCAGCCACGGAATGCTTAAAAAAAGTTACCAAACGTTTTATTTCATTAATTAAATTGGCAATGTCATTGGTGTCATCTAAAGCATTTTGAACCACTAGGTTTAATGTATGAGCAAAGCAAGGTAAATGTTTGGCCTTGCCGAAGAAATTGTACACAGCATTTTTTATGTTAGCGCCATTATCAGTTACAACAAGAATTATTTGATTTTTTTCAATACCCCATTTAACAAGCAGATTGTTAAGCCACCCAATGATATTTTCTGATGTATGGCGTTCTTGTAGTTCAAGAACACCTAATGTGACACTTTCCAACTGTAATTTGGATAGACTTAGAAAGTGTCCGGTCATGCCAAGATAACGTTTTGTATTGATGGTGTCTGTCCAAATATCTGTCGTTAAGGCGATATTTTCCACTAACGATAGTTTATTTTTTATTTGAGTGTATAGTACATCATACTTTGAACTTATTAGTTTGGTGATGGTCTTCCTAGATGGGATTTTATACTTCGGTGCCACTGTTTTCATTAAAAGTTTAAAACCATCTTTTTCAGTCGACCAAAGTGGCATGTTATCTTTGACCAACATATAAACTATTGAGTTTGTGACTGATACACTTTTGGCACCTCCTTCTAAAAAATAAATAAATAATTTTATGAGCTAATTATATTTAATCTTATAAAATTTAATTTTTTAAATTGCCATCCACCTCATATAATATAAAAAGTAACCTATGGATAATTATAATTATCAACTATTAAATAATATATTTAATACACACACATATATTATAAAAATAGTTAATTTATTAAGGGACTGTTAAATGGTAAAATTGATTCTACTGAGCTTGTTTCGTGCATATGTTTTAATTATACCTCAACGACTATTTTTATTTTGTATATTTTTAGATTAAGTAATTCATTTTTTAATTTTAAATATAAAAACTGTTACAAAAATATTCATTTTGTTAATAAATATTAGTTTGAAATAAAACAAAATAAAATAAGTTTTGTCAACTACACAAACCACCATTATCACATTTTTCGAAATATTTCCACATTGTGGATGAGTTGGAAGACATCGTACACTTGAGACTTGACGCAGGTAAAAAGGTTAACTAAGTAAGAATAGGAAACGTACGCGACTACGGAAACGGAAACGGAGTGACGGACTAAGGAACGACAAGGCGACAAACGGACAATTATTGACAAATGAGTAAATGTCAAATGGCAATACAACACAGTAAGGCGTAGACACTAGACAGTTAACAACACTTTCAGCTTAAACAGATCGGTTTTCAGTATCAGTACAATCGGCATCGGCATTCGGCACGTTTACATTGTTTACTTTACAACTGTCAACACGGCACGACGGCACAGTGCACACGCATTGGGTATATTCAATATTGTATAATCAGTTATATTAGGTTAGGCGTTCGTCGATTTACCAATAAAAAATTACAGTAGTAGTCAGTACTCAGTGGGGGAAAAACAGCAATTGAATTTGGCGTGACCAACTCAAAAATTTAATATTCTAAAGAAAATATAAAAATTCTAAAGAAAAAATGTTTAAATCGGCTGATTGAATCTCCAAAAAAAATATCGATTCAACAATAAAATCGCCAAGCCAAATCAATTCGAAAAATCGATTTAAATCGCCCATCACTACGCCCGACCGACCTATCCGTATCGACATGCTGTAGTGATAATATTATTTTATTAAATTGTCTTGGCTTTAACACAATGAAACATAACTTTTATAATGGCCATTTGGTAAACTGCATGAACATTTACATTTTTCTGTTAGTGAAAACGATAATATAATATTAAAGAATAGCCGATAATAGTTATATGAGTGGGTATTTATTTAATGTTTTATAATTTATAACTCTTAAAATATAAATGTTCGTATCCTTTTAAAAATATTATTATATAAAGCATATTATAACGTTGAAAACATACTTTTGCAGTATATCCTTTCTGTACGTCATACATTCACGTCAGTCTTGTAAAGTATTCAAATACGTATTATGATATTTTTTATTCATTAAAAAAATACTTTTTTCCGAACCCGAAAAATAGTTTTAAAGTTGTGACAAGACATATATTATTATAAATCATGAACATTATAGTTTTCGTATCGGTGGTATCACAATAGTGGTTAAAATGTATAAATAACTTACGATTACGATATTTGTTGAATTCTGGGAAAGTTGGGTTTATTTGTTATCTGGTTAACTAATGTCTATTATTAGTTATTCTTATTACGAAATACGTTCATTGGTGCTGTCTGCTGCCGCTGAAAGCAGTGCGCTCGCAAGTGCGCTCGCAGTGCGACTGAACAAACCACAGACCACAATCGAAATCGAAATCTCGACAACACTGAACAGTGAACACACGTATTATGTTTTCAGAAATAGACAATAGTGTAGTGTTTTACTTTAATGTAATAGTAGCAAGAGCGCTTTAATAGTTAATTGCATACATCTTAAAGTGAACGTTTTTGTTATTTTACGTTATTAATTATTATGTCCTCCTCCACATTAACTGATGAAATGGAAGATGATCCTGTATCTAATTCGAATACCAGTATTCAAATACCAGTATTCAAATACCAGTACAGTGTTCGAAACTTCCTTGGGACATATACAATGAGCATTTTAAAATTGTAAGATTAATTAAAGATGAAATAATATTCCAAACGTTCGAAGTTAAATGCGTACATTGTCGATCAACAAAAACTCGTACAGCTGATACCAAATCGAAATCGTACCTACAAAATCATTTAAAGGTATACTTTACTTATACCTAAGTCCTAAATTAATATTATTAAATAATTTATGTTCATAACGAATAATAGAACATTAATATTTAACTGTATATTATATTATTATTATATTATATTATATATATTATCATAAACATATTAATAATAAATATATTTGTAATTTATTTTATAGATTCAACATTCCAATTTAAAGAGTGTTAAGGAACTATTAAATTTAAAAAATACTTCTAATGATCAAATTAACGAAACCGAAAAAAGTGAAACTGAAGTATTAAATTCTGCAAAAAGATCTAAGCACATTCAAAAGTATGATGGTAATCAACCCACGTTATTAGAGTATCGGTTAAAAAGAGCTGTACAAGTCAAGGTAAAATTTAGAACTTGTTCAAATAAATATTTTATTTGGTATTTTTAATTTTAACCAATCATTAAAATATTTTTTTGTTTTAGATGAACTTGATGTATTAGTCCAAAACGTTATTGTGAATGCGTATTTACCTTTTAGCATAGTTGATCATTGTGATTTCAAAACTTTAATTCAAAAATGCTTTCCCGGGAGAACACTTATGTCTCGTCCAACTTTAATGAAAAGATTAAATACCCAATTCCAACACCATTTAATCCGTCTTAAAGAAGAAACGACTAATATTGAATATTTTACTACCACTGCTAACTGCTGGTCAATATTTAAAAGGTAAGTTATTTACACACTTAATATTATTTAGTAAATACCAGTAGAACTTTGACAAAACTTCAAGGGGGAGGCAAATTTAGTACAATGGCACAACATATGTTTCCATAATAAAAGATGTTAACAAGTCCCAATAGGGGAAGGCAGTCACATCTTCAAAACCGCCATTGCTAAATACGTTTAGAAAATTTATTGCATTTTAATTTTTTGATAGATCATACATAGGCATTACTTTTCATTGGATAATTGATGAAGATCTAACTAGAAAATCATGTGTATTGACCGTAAAACGATTGGAAGGGAGACACACAGGAGATTTGGAAGGGAGACACACATTTTATGTATTAGCAAAGGAAATTTAATCTGTGTACTTAAAGTATGATATAAACAACAAAATAAGTTATACAACTACAGACAATGGTTCGAGTTTTGTTAAGAGTTTTAAGAAAGTAATTGGTATTACATCATAAATTATAAAATTCAAAAGTTATTAATTTTATTATTATTTAATGATTTTAAAATAATTTATGTATTGGCTATTGGCTATTAATCACCATGAGTTAATTTTATTAATGATAAAATTATAAATTATTATATCAATTTTAAATTAATTTTTCTAGGCTAATAAAACCATTTATTTTTTTCAAATTATTTTTTCATCATTACTTATTCTTAATACAACAATTTCAGAATTTTTGGAAGAGAAAATAATATTGATGAGATTTCTGATACTAATACAGAAACTGATGAGATTGAAGAAGAAACAAATGTTGAAATGATCAACATTGCTGATATTTTGAATGAACATTTTTTTTCCGATGACTTTAATTACAGTCTACCAAAACATCATAGATGTGCTGCTCATACGCTGAATTTAGTTGCAACAATTAATGTAAATATTTAAGACACTACTTAATTATTTTAATTTTTAACTATTATTTTACCAACTAATTAGTAGGCATTTCTTTTACCATTGACCTTACAATGCAGAATTAGTTTTCAAGTCAAGACTTAAAACTAAATACATTTTTTAAGAAAAGGATTAATGAAACATCATAAAATAACTTTTTCTTTAATATTATTTAAATTTTACTTTTTAAGCATTATTTCCTATAATTCATCATACCTAATAAAAAAAAAATCTAAAACAATACTAGGTAATTTAATTATAAACAATATAACCATAAAATGTGTTTGTTACTTACTTTAAGTTTATAATATAGTGGTTTCATGGATAGTACTTCAATAGTTTTGTTTATAATATTTTTCAGGATATTGAAAATGCAGTGGTCAAATATACAGGAAGTGATTTATTACTTTTTAAAAAACAAAGAAGGCAAACTATTGCCAAATGCAAAGCTCTATGGAACAAACAAAATAGGTCCACAACTTCAGGAGATATTGTTAAAAAATACTTAGGTGTCTTTGAAAAAGTTGTTATTAAAATGTAATAAGAATGTATTTGATTAAATTGTAAACACTTACTATAAATATAACAACTACTAGGTGATTCCGTGCACTTCGTTGCCCATTGAATGTACGAATGTACCAACTCTATATATTATGACTAGGCTTAGGGACTTATAGCTCTAAAAAATACACAAATATGCTTCTAAAATCATTAAAATATGCATTTATATGCATTAAAAACAAATTTAAAAATTGAATTTTTTCAAATGTATTATTTATTTTTTCTATTGAAATTTACCTTAAGATTTTGCAAAATTAAACCGAGAATTAAAAGTAAAATAAAATTTAACAATAATTAAAAAAAGTATGCAAATGCTAGAAGTCCCTAAGCCTAATTATGACTAAAACTTTGTTCGATTCATTATTTAATATGTGGTGTATGGTGTTCAAAATTTATCTTAACTCTTCCGTTGACGGGAATAAAAATTCTGTAGTATATTATCAGGTAGTCAGTCCACCTGATGACTGATGTAAATCGCGGACCCCGTTCTGTTTGTACGTAAGTGTATAATTTAACTCTAAAGTATCAAAGTTATACCAAGTTTATCGTATTCCACCTATGGCGGATTAATAAATAATGTAATCAATTAATACAAAATCCTAACCTAACCTAACCGTACTA